CCAAGACCTTCCGACATAATCAGGTTGAGTGAAGCTGAATGCAGTCATTACTCTTAACCATTTCAGAACTATTATCTTTGTACAGCATTTCCCCAAAGATTTTCCCACAAAGTTATCATTTATACATTCATGTATATAATTTTCATTTATCACTACTCATCTCATCCCAAATCACTAATGTCACAAATCCAAGCTGTCTCGAAATTTCACAATTCTTCCAGAATGTGTTGGAACTTGGAAAGTTGGTAGCTTGGAGGACTGTAGACCCTGACTGTGTTTTTGAATCTACATAGTCTATAAAATATCTCTGCACTAGAGGACTTTTTAATCTCTTGGATATCCTTTGCAGAGCATATTGTTCCTGTTTAATACATTATCTGGTTGAACATTAGTCTTCTGAGTTTCTTTTGAAGAACTCTTCCCTCTTTAATCAGGTAGTTGCCTCATAACATCATCTAGGGGCCTTTAATCACATGTACTTCCTTCATGGAAGACGGGCCTGTGTTAAAACAAGTATGTTTTTGTGTTGGAAGATCCTGGATTCTGGACCAGGCTATTTCTGCTTGACTGTTTCTTGAATCTGTTGACATTGGTCACCCCATCTCAATGTTGGTTCCCATGGCATCATATGCAGCCCACCTGTGCGAGCAAATCTTCATTCTCAATCTATTAATTTGCCTGTGCTGAAGTATGTAAACACTTTACTTCAATATTTAGAGTAGGTTGTATGTCTTCATGCACCCTCTATGGTTGTCTTACTGGTGAACCTAACATGTCACATTCTCAGTAATGTTACTTGAGGATTACTGCTGACCCAGCTCTAACATAATCACCAATAACTTCTGCTGAAATCTGACAAACTTAAATATTCCTCTTGAACTTGAGTTGTTTTGTAATATGACATCAAATTTGAATCTGCTGCTTTAGTTTGTTCACCAGACTTTGTTTTTGCCTGAACAGTTTCAGTTGAAGATTGATCAATTAGCTCACTTAGCTTATACTGAACATTCTTTTTCTCCCTGTCTGAATCTTCTCTTAAATGTTGCAGGTCTGGTTGTATCTGTGGGGTGAAAGCAGAGTTAATGTTTCGAGTCCAATGACCGTTCTTCAGAACCCTTGATCTTCTGAGTTTTTGAAGAAGGACCAGTGGACTTGAAATATTGACTCTGCTTCCTCCTCACAGATGCTGATTTTAGCCTGTAATTTCTGTTTTTCTTTGGATATCCAGCATGCACAGTTCTTTGTTTTATTCTCACAAATTTTGTCGGCTTCTGTCATTTGAATTTTCTTCAATTCGAGTTGATTGGATTGCCAATTTCTTCTAGAAACACATTGGGATCTTTACTAATGCTGGTGTCTCTACAACATCTTTGTCTGACCAGTTAGGTGGTGACTTTTTTGTAGCTCTTTAACCATATCCTACTTCTACACATGTCTGGATATGCCATATAGTTTTATAGATGTAACATTCTTTTTTAACAGTTGGGCACTGTTTATGTCTATGAGGTTTTCTGTTACCACAGTGATGACACTGACTCTTAGTATCTGATGTTTGGCCTCTTCTTCATTTTGACTTGTCTTGTATATCTTAATGATTTTTATACCTTCAAAGACTGAATGGATTCAATTGCTCTTCTGTGATAAAGTTACTCATCTCTTCACAGGATCTCTCTGTGATTCTTCCTGTTATTTGCATCTAGCACAATCAGAATACCTTTCACAAAATTTTTTTTCATAATCTGTAATAATTCTGATAAAGGCTCAGAATTGTTCTAACAACAAATCAGTCCCTTATCAAAACTGATTCCAAAACTCAAAAGTCACAGTCTTACACTAATCTGCAGATTCTACACATTCCCCTGAAGCTGAACTATTCTGCGAAATCTTGGTCTTTCACGAATGTAACTGTAAAATCTGCCACATGGTATTATTTCTCCTGCCATTTCTATCAAATGTGATCATGGTTTCTTCTTAAGGCTTTTGAGGTCTGCACTATCCCAATGTTGTTTTAACCTCATTCTCAAATAGGTTCTTACTTTTCCAATATAACATCGTTGTTGTATTTTCTTTGTCTTAAAATGTTTTAATTCCATAATATAGCAATTTTGTATCATGGCATACTGGGGGCTTTCCTGCATTCTTACAATCAAAATTGAGTTTCAGACTATTTATTCAACTGCTTTGCCATATACCCCATTCCTCTTGCCCACTAATCCAAACAACTACCAAGAATCCAACACCCCAACCCCACTACTCCCCAATAGCCCAAGGCCCAGGCTTAACCTAAACCTTTGTCCCTCCACTGCTTTTCTCCAATCTCTCTTGCCTATGAAAATTCAATTCTTTTGGCTCCATGGTCAGGCACTCATTTTGTTGGAAATTTCTTTAGACCTCCTGATTGCAGTGTTAAAGTAGTAGGATGCATAAATATAGACAGCAGGAAACTCTTTTGTGAGTAGTGGTGGCTATAATCAGACACGTAACCTTTCGCACATAGTGGGAAAAACTGAAGACGTTGCCCTCTGAGCATTTAGGAATGGGCAATAAATTCTGGCCTAGCCAGTGATGCCCTCATCCCATGAATGAATAAATAAAGACCTCTTTAACCTGACTTTTGTTAGCTTTCTAACATCTCTTTCTTTGACAGAATGTCTGTTTATGCCTTAATTTACTTCTGTGGAATGTTTTGCTGCATTAAAAAGTACTAAACAAATGCAAGTTGTTGTTGCCTTTGGTTGGCTATGCAAAATTAACAATCACTAAATAAACAAAAATGATTTGAGAGACATCCATGGAATTCCACCTGGCAGGTTAATTAACTTGTTATTCATTTCTTGAAACATGTATGTTTCCTAAATCAGTTCCTGTGATTTGAGAATGCAAAGCTGCTGCAGTAAACATGAAAATAAATTCAATTTTAAAAAAGTATAGGGAGGATTAGCAAACTCACCTTAGTACCATTGTATAGGGAGTCTTTCAGCTGGGGGGGGGGGGTAGGGCATTGGGGGGGGGTTTGGTGAAAGAGAAAAGTAGTTGTAATCAGTGATAGCATAGTCAAGGGAATAGACACTCTTCTCTGTGGCCAGGATCGAAGGCTGTGTTGTCTGCCTGGTGTCTGGGTTCAGGATATCTCATCTGGACTGTAAAGGAACTTGGAGTGGGTGGGCTAAGATCCAGTTGTCATGGTCAATGTTGATGCTAATGATATAGATAGAAAAAGGAAAGAGTTCTGCTGAGGGGAAATGAGCCAGGGGATAAATTAAAAAAGCAGAATCAAAAAGGTAATAATCTCTGGGTGACTACTTGAGCCACAGCAAACTGGCACAGGGTCAACCAGATTAATGAGGCAAGTGCGTGGCTCAAAGATTGGTGAGGGAGAAAATGGGTTTGAATTCATGGGACATTGGCATCAGTACTGGGGAAGGAGGGAGCTGCTGTGCGGGGGCAGGCTCCACTTGAACCATGCTAGGACCAGAGTCCTGGTGAATCACATGACTAGGATGATTTATGGGTAGGGCTTTAGACTAAATAGCGGGTGAAGGGTGGGTTCAGTAGTGTGGAAAATTATGGAAAATGTTCAAAGTGGGAAGGCTCCGGAGAGGTTATTAAAGGGTTCAGAGCAAGTAGTAAAGCCGTGAGGCTAGTAATCCAGAAGTCCAGCCTAATGCCCTGGGCTAACAGCCTGGTAAGGTCCTGGGGAGTATCGCTGAACAAAGACAGCTTGGAGCCTACTGCACCTGGTATTCCCAGGAAGTCTCTCATCCAAGTACTAACTGGTAGAATTTAACTCAATTCATAAATCTGGAATATAAGCTGGCTTCAGTAATGACATAGTTCTTCGAAAGTTGCATCACAGTGGACAAGTTGGCTAAGGAGGCATTTGGTACGATTGCCTTCATTGCTCGGATCATTGAGTATAAAAGTTGGGACATCATGTTGCGGTTATACAGGATGCTGGTGAGGCTACTTTTGGAGTACTGTGTACAGTTCTGGTCATCTTACTATAGGAAGGATATTATTACACTGGGGAGGGTGCAAAAAAAATTTGCAAGGATGTTACCGGGACTGGTGAGTGTGAGTTATAAGGAGAGACTGGATAGCTGGGACTTTTTTCATTGGAGTGCAGGAATTTGAGGTTTATAAAATCATGAGGGGCTTATATAAAATGAATAGCAGAGATCTTTTCCCTAGAATAGGGGAGTTCAAAACTAGAGGGCGTATTTTTAAGGTAAGAGGAGGAAAGTTTAAAAGGGACCTGAGGGGCAACATTTTCACACAGAGGGTCGTTTGTATGTGGAATGAACTACCAGAGGAAGGGGAAGTTGCAGGTACAGTTCCAACATTTTCAAGACATTTGGACAGGTACATGCATAGAAAAAGTTTACAGAGATATGGGCCGAATGCGGGCAACTGGGACTAGTTTAGTTTAGGAAACCTGTTTGGCACGGACTGGTTGGACCAAAGAGTCTGTTTCTGTGCTGTATGACTCTATGACTCTATAACAATCCTTAGGCCCCTTGAGCATATTATGGAACTGAATATATGCATAAAATCATCAAAAGATTAATGGGATGCTCAGCATTACATCACATTAGTTTAGATATTGCTGGGAGCAGTGAATGCTCATAGACTTTCTATGGGAATTTTTCAAAAACAACAAAATTAAAAGCCAAAAAAATGAGTTTACTGGTTATCACTGGATTTCTATGGTGAGAGAAAGGAAACTAACTGGAAATAGATGCTTCCAATACCACCTGAGCATAGCTCCTTCAACATTCTTCAGGAAAATCTATTAACAGTGTTGACAGATTTAAACATACTGCTGTCCTGACTGATAAAGAGAAGTGCAAGCACCAGAGCAGGAAACTAAGTGAGAAATGGGTACTTTAAAATAATGGTTTATAAAATCACTGTTCTTCACTAAGATAGGTGATTCAATCTGTTTGAAGTATTTCCTTAAATACTCAATAAAAAGTTGTAATAATTTCAAAATGACTTACTGAGGGGCTGTAGGATCTGAGGTATGAGCAGAACCATTATGTTTTTCTTCTGATCTTTCACTTCCCTTGTATTGTGCTGAAATGCTGGAGTTAATTTCGATTTCTTCATGATTTGCAACCTCAGAGTTATTCTGCTCAACTAACTCTGATTGTTCAAGTATCTGCTCTTTGGAAGGAGTCTCAAGACAGGTTATCTTCAATGTTCTCTCGCCAATCTCTCCAGCACTGCTGCCAAAGACTGCTGTGATATGCTTACTAAGAGGCTCCTTTTCTGCAGCATCATTCTGATTTGGAGTTGGAGCTCCATTCTGATAGTCAGTGTTAAAATCTGGGCTGCTGACACTCTTAGTTTGGGGTGGAGTTAATGATTGTTCTGGTTTAGATTTTGATGTTCGACTAAAAAAACTTCCCAATTTCTGTCGAAGACCTTCCTCAGGTTTGTTCAAACCACTGGTTGGAAATAATCCAATGGCTTCACTAGCTGTTGGTTCCTCTTGCGCTGAAGACTTCTCTTTGTCCACAGAACCCTGAAAAACCTATAACAATGCAGAAAGAGAATAGGTCAGTGCAGCTTTATGCTGTAAATTTGGTTTTCGTTCACTTAAATAGCAATTTGAAAACTCATTCCAGAAATCAGAATGGATATTACCTTTGCCAAGTCTGTAAACAATTTATTTGCAGACCCAGAGGATGTCTGTTCATTTATCTTTCCAGCTTTTGGGCTGACCGCAGTTTCCTCATCCTTAAGACTAGAACAAAAATAGCATAAAGCAAACACAATAGCAAATATAATAGCAGGCAAAACAAATTAAAACAAAGAGAAAAGCACTGATAAAAGATTTGAAGTAAAATAGTCTTAAATGGATTCTTGCCAGTGCAGCAAAATAATACATTAGAGCGTTAAAAAGGATTCAGTTACATGTTTTCATCTACCTTCACCTTCCTGATTTTTTTTTAACTATTATGTTAAGGTAATTCTTTGAAAAAATTATATATCTGTGCAATTTTAGGGCAGGAAGTGTAGGATTGTGCCATTCAGTTCCTAGAAAAGAGTTATTTAGTCTTCCCCCAACTCCAGGTCCTGGCTTTGTGCTCTCTTTCAGATTCCAAAACCCCTGTCCAACTTTACGACTGGAACTATTCCCTTGTAGGTTAGTTATGCAGTTATGGATTGCATTTGCAAAGACCGAACACGGGCAAGATGGACCAAATGGTCTAATTCTGTGTTGGAAATTTCTCATGGTTTTATGGTATGGTACATGTTCTATCTTTAAAGCATGGTGAGGTATCAAATGAGCTGCCATGTCCTGAATACCAACTATTGGTTGCTTATAATATTTATTTTCATGAGACGTAGAGTTAATTTCAGTGTTTGAAAAACTCAACCCTATGGATACCTTTTCAAAATTGCAGCTTTTGTCTTAAATGAGAATCAAAGAACTAGGAGTATATCAAAAACATTTTTAAGAAATATAAGGATTTGTATTGCAATATACTAAGGAGTGCCCATGGTAGAGGAAGTCATTACTCAGAGCTTTTGTAAAAATAATCAAATTATCAAGTTCCAGTGGCACAAGCACAAAGATTAAAAGGTAAAATTTCAATGTGGCTTATATAATGCCTTGTTTTAACCTTGGCAGAAAACTGGAAGAAACCATGAAGTTAAAAAGGTGCCTTTTACAACCTTAAGAGTCATGGTGCAACTGGCTGCTTTGATCTTTCCTTGGGTTTCTGCTAAAACCACAATAGAAGATTGAAAGACCTAAATGAGAAATTCCAACCATTGCTTTGAAAGTTCTCTTGGCTTGCTATTTGTAATTAAACTCTAAATGATTATATTCATATTTATGACATTGCTACAAATTATTAACTGAGGGATCCTTCCCTCCCAGTGTCAACACCTGAGAATGAAACAGGGAGTGTTCATGGTGTGTCATAATTGTTATACAGTATTATGACTCTTCTAGATGATTCAACAAGACATTCACTGTGTTCTCCCATTGAAATTAATGACCACAAGAATGCAGCCTTGCTAGATTGAGTCTGCACATGTAATAACAAGCTCTTATTTCCACAAGGAAGAGAAACAACTTCATGAAATTAATTAGCATAATCAGGTAGGACTTCTTTGTGGTTCTTCCAATCTCTGATAGTACTTGATGGATACCCTGGTTTAAGTGGCTGGTTATGTTGTCAACAACTGTGTTTAAATCAGTCTTCTGCAAAAGTTGCGGTGGACAATTGGATAATCACATGTGGAAATTCAAATAACTCAATAACAGACCAAGAAACATTTTTTAATTTACCCAAAACATAACCAATGTAAATGAGAATAACCCAGGGCAAGCCCTTTTAATAACGTCATCCTGGAATTTCTGTATGTAAACACAGTCCCATTAATAAAAACTACACCTTGAAACTAATCGAAAGTGTATTATTTCATACAATTCATTTCCTTTCACAGTAATCTTTTGTGAATTCTGTAATCAACTCCAGGAGAAAGACCCTACACAGAACCTATTATATTAACATAACATTGATGGGTCAAATTACAGAGCAGTCAAGCAATCTTTGTGACCAATGATAGACTGGCAACTATTTAATTGTTAGCTCAGTGATTGATACTCGAAAATCCAATACTTTTGTTATGCTTCTTTAAAGCAAACAATTGATAAGTTCTCTCAAACAGTTTTTGTTTCCTGAAATGTAAATCTGACCTAAACATTAATCAGATAGCATATATGTGCTGTCACTGGACTAGGAATCCAGGTACCCACTTAATGTTCTGGGACAAGGCTTTGAATTTCGCCACAAAGTGAATTAAGAGTCTAATGATGACTATGAAATAAATTACTGTCGATTGTCATAAAAACACTTCTGATTCATTAAAGCCTTTTAAAGGTAGGAAATCTGCTGTCCTTACCTGGCATGGCTTACAGCAAAGTGGTTGACTCTTAATTGACCTCAGGGCAATTCGGAATAGGCAACAAATGCTGATGACTCTTAACTATTAAGTTGTGCCAAACCACTGAAAAGTCCCAACAAAGGACTGAAACTGGAGGGAATACCTTGGCATCGACCTAGACACAGGGAATGACAATGGCAAACCCGGCCCTGCAAAGTCCTCCTTACTAACACTTGGGACCCAGTGTCAAAATTGGGAAATCTGTCTGCAAAATCCTGATGTTGTCATGATCATGGAATTATATATGACAGACAATGTCCCAGATAATACCATGACCATCCCTGGTTATATCCTGTCCCAACAGCAGAACCGACACCGCAGAGACAGTGGCACAATGATTTATAGTGAGGATGGAGTTGGCCTCAGAGTCCTCAACATTGACTCCAAATCCCTGAAGTCTCATGGTCCCAATCACACATAGGGTAAAAAAGCTCCCACTGCTACCAGATACTGTGTCTGCCCTCCATTGATGAATAAGTATTCCTCCATGTTGAACAGTGCTTGGAGGGGGCACTGAGGGTGGCAAAGTCCATTGTCAAGTGTGGCTCAGCAGTACAACTTCTGCTACAGCTGGCTAACTGCTTAAAGTCATAGCTAGACAGGGTCTGTGGCAGATGGTAACGGAACCAACGAGAGAGAAAAACATACTTGACCTCACTCTTACAAATCTGCCTGCCACAGATTCATTTGTCCATGACTTGGTAAGAGAATGATCCTTGCACGGACCTTGTGGAAACAAAGTCCCATTTTCACGTTGAAGATACCCTCCATCATGTTGTGTGGTACTGTCATCATGCTAAATGAGATAGACCTAGAGCAGATCTAACAACTCAAGACTGGACATCCATGAGACTTTGTGGGCCATCACAGCAGCAGAGTCACACTCCAACACAATTCGTAGCATCATGGCTGGACATATCCTCCACTCTAACATTACCATCAAACCAAGACATCAACCCTGGTTGAATGAAGATGTCATGCCAGGAGCTGCACCTAAAAATGAACTGCCAACTGATGAAGCAACAACACAGGACTGCTGCATGTCATAAATCAAAAGCAGCAAGTGATGGACTGAGCTAAGTGATCCCACAATCAACGGACCAGGGCTAATATCTGCAATTCTGCCGCACGCAAATGAGAATAGTAGAGGACAATTAAACAACTTACTTAAGGAGAGAGCTTCATAACGTTCCCATTCTCAATAACGGGGGAGCCCAGCGCATTAGTAGGACAAATAGTAGGACAAATCCAACAGAGACCCATTAGACTACTCTCTATTACCAATAAAGTGATGGAGGGGGTCATCACCAATGCTACCAAGCTGCAATTGCTTAGCAATGACCTGTGTAATGCTGCAGAGTTTTTTTCTCCTTCAGGGCCACTCAGCTCCTGACTTCATTACATTCTTGGTTCAAACATAGAGTTGAACTCCAGAGATGAGATGAGTGTGACAGCCCTTGACATCAAGGCGACATTTGACCAAATGTAGCATCAAAGAACCCTAGAAAAACTAAAATGAATGAGAATCAGGAGGCAAACTCTCTGCAGATTGGAACCATAGCTAACACATAGGAAGGTGGTTGTGGTTATTGGAAGTCAGTCTTTTCAGTTCCTGGATATCTCTGCAGGTGTTTCTCAGGGTAGTGTCCTAGGTCCAACTATCTTCAGCTGCTTTTTCAAACTTCATAATGTCAGTGATGGGATGATACTGACAGTTGCACAAAGTTCAACACCATATACAACTCCGCAGATATTGAAGCAGTCTACATCTAAAATACAGCAAGACCTGGACAATATCTAGGCTTGGGCTGGAAAGTGACAAATAACTTTCATGCACACAAGTGACAAGCAATTACCATCTCCAACAAGAGACAATCTAAACATGTTAACTTCCAATGACATTACAATCACTGAATTCCCCCCATATATGTATGTCAGAGGCCAGGAATTTCACAGGTCTAGCAGTTATTTGATTTAGGACTTGCCCAGCTCAGTCAGTAGTGGTTCTACCAAGGACTTCCTGGTGAAAAATTTTGAACTCTTCCACCCAATATTCATCACCTATCTCCTCAAAGTCTGTTCACCATCTACAGAGTGCATGTGAGGAGTGTGACAGAATACTCCTCACTTGCCTGGATGGGTGCAGCTGGAACAACCCTCAAGAAGTTTAACTACATCCTGGACAAAACAGCTTGATTCACTGTCACTCAATCCACTGACCCTCAATATTTATTTCTTCACAAATAATGCACCATAGTGGGATTGTTTACAATCTACTGCATTGCAGTAACTCATCAAGGTTCTTTCAACAGCATTTTTTCAAATCCACAACCTCTGCTACCTAGAAGGATAAGGGCAGCAAATGTATAGGAACACCACCACTTGCAAGTTCCCTTCCATGGTTCATTCTCACTTGCAACTATATCACTGTCCTTCATTGCCACTGTGTCAAAATTCCAAAACTCCCTTCCTAACAACATTGTGTATGTAAGAAAGTGATTCACTGCCATCTTCCTCAGGGCAATTATTATTAAGCAAAAGGTGCTGGACTATGATGCCATATCCTATGAAAAGATGAGAAAGAACTTCATTATTGCTAGAGACAACACAGTGTAGAGTTGGAGGAACACAGCGGGCCATGAAGCATTAGAGGAGAAGGAAAGTTGACGTTTCGGGTCGGGACTTCTGAAGAAGGGTCCTGACCCGAAACATCAACTTTCTTACTTCTCTGATGCTGCCTGGCCTGCTGTGTTCCTCCAGCTCCACACTGTGTTATCTCTGACTCTAGCATCTGCAATTCTTGCTATCTCTTCATTATTGCTATTCTTGGGTCTGTCGTGTTTCATCAACAGGGCATATTCACCAGAGGCGGTGGCACAGTGCTATACAGTCAGGATGGAGTTGTTCCCAGAGTAGTCAACATTGACTTCAAACTGCATAAAGTCCCATATCATTGGGTCAAAAATGTCAAAGAAACTTCTACTGAATGCCTCCTATTGCGCTCCTTACGCCCCACCATCCCCTCACCACCCTCTCCCTCAGCTGATACATCAGTACTTTCCCATGTTGAACACCACTTGCAAAATGCACTGAGAGTGCAAGGACACAAATGTACTCTGGGGTTGGGGGAGTTCAAGGTTCATCACCAAGAATTTCTTGATAGAAACATTATTGACCAAGCTGGCCGAACCCTAAATGACATAGCTGCTATCTGCAGCATGTGTTGAGGGTGTCAAGAAGAGGGAGAAACATACTTGACATCATCATTACCAATCTGTTAGCTACATTTTTATAAGTCTACAACTAAATTGTAAGAATGACCACTGCACAGTCCTTGTGGAAATTAAGTCCTGTTTTCACATTGAGGATAACTTCCATTGTGTTGTGTGTACCACTGCGCTAAATGGAATAGACTTTAATCAGATCTAGCAACTCAAGTCTAGGAATCCACAAGGTGCTGTGGGCCATCAGCATCAGGAGAATTAGATCCAACCACAATCTGTAACCTTGTGGCCTGGCATATTGCCCACTCCAGCATGACCGTCAAACTGGGTGATCCAAAGCTGGTCCAATGATAATGCAAAAGGCCATGCATGAAGTAGCATCAGGCACACCTGAAAATGAAGTGTCAACCTGAAAATTGCAGCATAGGATCACTTGCAAGCCAAACAGTATAAATAGTTTATGATATATAAGACTAAGATATTCCACAATCCTGGATGAGTTCTTGGCTCTGCAGTCCTGCTACATCCAGTTGTGAATAATGGTGGACAATTAATTACCGAAGTGGGTGTGGAAACTCCACAAATATGCTCATTCTCAATGATGGGAAATTCCAGCACAAAAGCAAGGCTAAATCACTTGAAACAATCTTCAGCCATAAATGCTGAGTGGACAATTTATCTTGGCTTCCTCCCCAGGTTCCAAGCATCATACAGGCTGGTTTTCAGCCACTTCAATTCAATGCGAATCCAGGAAAATCTCTCCATTTGTTGCATTCATAGCTCGCACATAGAAAGATGGTTGTGCTTATTGGAGGTCAGTCATCTCATCAATCAACACATCTCTGCAGGAATTCCTCAGGGTTGTGTCTTTGGTACAACCATCTTCGCTGCTTCTTTAATAATCTTCCCTCCATTACAAGGTCAGAAGTGATTTAGTTCAATGGTGATGACCCAATGTTTAGCATCATTCTTAACTCTTCATACACAGAAGCTGTCTGTGCCCATAGGCAGAAAGACCTGGACAACATATATGGAGATAGTAAAAACTGCCAATGCTGGAGTCAGAGATAACACAGTGTGGAGCTGGAGGAGCACAGCAGGCCAGGCAACATCAGAGGAGCAGGACAGTCGATGTTTCGGGTTGGGACCGTTCTTCAGAAAAATTTTCTAAAGAAGGGTCCTGACCCGAAATGTCAACTTTCCTGCTCCTCTAATGTTACCTGGCCCGCTGTGCTCCTCCAGCTCCACACTGCGTTATCATGGACAACATATGTTTGGGCTGATAAGTGGCAAATGACATTTAGCCACACAAGTGTCAGGCAATGATCAACCAACAAGAGAGAACCTAACAATTGTCGCTTGATATTCAAAAGCATTACCACTGCTGAATTACCCACTATCAACATCCTAGGGCTACCATTAACCAGAAACAGAACTGGAGTAGCTATATAATTACACCTGACTCCCCAGACCATGTCCATGATACAAGGCGTAAGTCAGGAATTTGACCGAGTACTCTGCACTTGCAGTTGGTGAATTAAGCTCCAAAAACACTCAAGAGTTTCAACACTATCCAAGACAAAGCATCCCATTTGAATGGCACACCAACTTAAACATTCACTCCAGCCACCACCAATGCAAATTGGCAGCAGTTAATTTTTCCAAACCCATCAAATTGATCATCTAGCATGACAAGAGCAGTCGGAGTATGGGAACAGTATCACCTGCACACACCCACCTGAACTACTTATATTGCTTTCACCTCACTGTCCTGGGTGAAAATCATGAAACTCCTTTCCTAACTGCATATGGCTGTACCTACCCCATTGACTGCAATGGGGCAACAAATGCTGGCCTAGCCAATGATGCCCATACTTCTTGAAAGAATATTTTAAAAGATTCACGTGTGACATACTGCATAATTCATTTTAATGCAAAGACTAACTTGCATTTTCTTTCAATAATCCCACATCATTTATGATCAATTTGAACATTTTAATATCTACTCTATGCCTGAAATATAGAGCTGTGTAATTTAATTTCAAGGCCGCTATTTTTACCTTAAGTGACTGACATTGTCACGGTGAAATCTGCGACAATGTTTCTTTACCATGGTCACAAATTGAGTAAGGCGGCTCAATGACTAAACAAGATAATATTTTAATATAGTTCAGAGCAATAATAAAAATCCTGCATCATTTCTGTCAAATAATCTACACCTACCTTCTGTTTATAAGTGCCTATGGATGTTTTACCCATATTTAACATAGTTTTATATGTAGAAAGTATCTAGCAAAGATGTTTAAGAGAATACTTACTTTTAACATTTGAAAGCAGAAAAATACTTACTTGACTCAAGCAGTTGTGATTTGAGTAATAAATTTGAATGCTACAATGTCACCCCCTATCTCTACCAATTGTACCTGCGTACCTGCAGATATCTCTCAGGAATATAAACCACTTATCACCTGAAGACAAAATCCATTCTCATTGCTCACTAGATTCAATACAGGCAATCATAGAGTCATACTGCACAGAAATGGACCCGTTGGTACAACCAGGCCATGCCAACCATAATCCCAAACTAAACTAGTCTCACCTGCCAACGCTTGGCCCATTTCCCTCCAAACATTTCTTATTCATGTACTTATCCAAATGTCTTTTAAACGTTGTAAATTGTACCCATATCCAAGACTTCCTCTGGATGTTCACTCCACGTATGAACCACTCTCTCGAATCATTAAAATTTTGTGAAACAGCTTAGATTGTAATGGCGCAGCACTCCACCTACTCAGGCTTTCATTCTGTTGCCATTTTCCTATTCATTCATCAGAAGGATATATGTTCTTACACTACTGAAAATATTTTACACTAATTATAGAGAGTGATAATATCTGAGAGTGCTGTAATCTATCTTCAAACTGCGGTTATATCTCAGGTGTCCTCTGCACAGATTTGTCCCTCTCACTCTTGACCGCTCCACCTCACAGACAGGTGCCTCTCACTCACTTTCTCGTTTTTGTAATCCTCACACACAGTCTTTGTCCCCTTTTTAACACAGATCGCCCCCTTTATCTTTCTTACCTCTCTCCGTAGCCCCCTATATCCATGGTCTACTCTGGCTCCCTTTTGCTATTCGTTTGTATTGATCTTCCAGGTGCACATAACTTAGTTCTACTACTCTTTCTGTAGTAACAAGGAAGCAAAGATCCTCGAACTTGTTATCAGTGCAAAACTTAATCTATTTTAGTAAGACAATGGTTCATTTTGTTTTACATGCCCAATTGCACTGCTTCGCTAAAACAGGTGACAGGCGGCTCTCGGATTTACCTTACTGCTTCGGAGGTAGGTTTCGTTGGGTTACCCTCAACAGGCTTGTTCGAAGAAAATAGTTTAGACAAGTTTTTTGCGACGTCCTCCTGCCAGATACTGGATAGTTTAAACGCGCTCATTTCTTCCCAAAAGACGAAGGGAGCGGCTGATATCTCAGCCAGTCAACTTGGATATTGCACTGAGCTGGGCAAGAAAACGCGAGGTTAAACTGTTCAAACTTGTAAGGCTGGGCTGGAAATACAGGATATTGTTAGTAGTCAAAAAACCGTGTAGGAGGAGTTTCTCTATCCTAATTGTGTTTTCAAACATGTATACTCACTTTAAGATAAAAATGTTAATCGTTCTATACTGTACTGTGCTGCACATACTGGTAATGTAGCATCTTTATTTTTCTATTTTTGCTAATGTATGTTTGACTTTGAACCCTGGGATGTAATCTTCTGTTCTGCTAGAATTGTTACATTGGGATCAGAAATGAGTGTCTTATTAAAAAACCAGTAACATTGCGCCAGTACAAGACCAGTGTATTTGGTCCTGCTACCAATGACACTGGCAATTTTGCCAGTAACACTGGTTCTACCATTGGTTGTGGTGCAAATCTGCAGCATTAAGTGTTATCTTTGAGGTTACATTGCTGTTGCTGCCCTGATAGATTCTTCGTTTTCCTGACGTGTTAGGAGAAGTCTAAAAACCAAAAGAATTGCAGATGCTGGAAATCTGAAACAAAAAAAAAACAGAAATTGCTGGAAAATCTTAGCAGGTATGGCAGCATCAGTGGAGAGAAATCAAAGTTAACCTTTCGGGTCCAGTGACCCTTCTTCAGAAGTGATGGTAGCTCGGAAAAGGATGGTTTTTATACGGAAGATTGGGAGGGAGAGTAAAGGACAAGTGGAGATAGAGCCCAGAGATTGAGAAACACTTGGATAAGGAGTGGAACTTCTCTTAGGAGAAGTCTGCATGGCAGGGTGTTTGTGCAGCAGAGGGTGTAAGGTGTATCTAGCAATATCAATTGCACCACTCATTTAAGTACCTGTAAAGAATTTATATTTTATTGAAAATACAATATGTAAGACATTATCAAAGGAAACTGCACAGAATAAAAAGACTATTAATGCAATAAATAAGGAAAACAACTAATGCCATTCTCCCCCACCCCACACCATCACCACCACCTCCAAACATAGCTAGCTTGCTTGAGTTTCCTTTTCTGTGTTTGCTCAAGTCTGTGATTTTTCTCAAAAATATAACTGTGGACCAAGACTTGCTCCTTGCAGACCCCTTTGTTGGACATTCCCTTGGGGCACTGATGGTGACCAAACAATCTGGGAGGAGAATCAGGGAAGAAATAATAACAATAATAGTAATTAGTAGCTGTGAGCATGACAATATCACAGGGGCAGGTGGAACATTCAGAGCTGAGATATTAGTCAAAGATGCTGAAAAAAGTATCAAGGGCTGGCGAGTGTGTCATTAGGAATCATTGTCAGTGATGAACTTACCTTTGACAGCCCTCAGCTTAATTGGAGAAAGTGCAGGATTGGCTTAGGGGGAATTTCCACACTGGCAAAGAGAGTGCATAGCTTTCCATGGTTGGACCTATTCTGCAGAATCTCAGATCTCCAAAGTTCAGCAGCCAGTTTCTTCATAAGCATTGAATTTGTCCTTGAAACTACAACAGACCGCCTTTACAGCTCCATTATGTGCACACCACCCTTAAGTTGCACCTTTTGGCGGAAAAAAAATATCAGTTTTCTCCTCTGAACTCTGGATCTTGGAGCCTGAATTTGTGTAAAGTACATGCACAAAGATGATACTCTTTAGAGTAGAGGACTGCTGGGAGAAGTTCAGCTAAATAACACTGGAGGTGCTTTATGAACAATGACTTGGTGCAATGAGGGAATAGTTACCATCCCATCAATTGGAGTATATAGGGTCTCGGCTTGGGCATCTGAATGTTCCATGCCAGTCATTTGGTGTGCAGGGTTCTCATCCCTCTGCACCAATCTAGGCAGCTCTGATTTGGTTAGATTCATGATTTATGGAGGCTGTGCTATGGGAGACAAATTGGAAAGTTCTTCATTCTCCTTTTACCTGGATGAAGGAATCAAAGTAGCAATCAATGCCTTTGGCAAGAAAAACTTACAGTGTGTGCTGTTCAGGAGTTGCTTCTGGAAGCGGCAATTGCAGTCCTGCAGCTTGGTCCACACTGCTGTGTAGCCGATAGATTATAGCTACAGCCTCCTGTAAGACATGAGTCTAGAACTCCACCTTCAGTACGAGTGTTTGTGCATCATTTGATTCAAACTGCAGGGACATTGCATATGCCTCCAAGTCAGGTGCAGCTTCTGTTGGTGGAGGGAGCATTCAAGTCGTAGCCCACTCTGACACAGAGGGGAGGGGGAATGGTCTCGTGCTGTGAACCCTGAACTACAGGGAAGCCTGAATATGATCCTGTCCATCAGGGTCTACAGCAGTTTTCTGCATTCCTTCTCTACCTGACCTTTCTTGTGCTTCTCTCAGCAAAGATAAATTGTAAGTTACTATACAGATCTATCTCAGTTCTGCAAGCATACACAGCGACGAGACCAAGTGAAAGTTTGAGCACCTACCCCTGTTTGCACTGCTGGCCTTCATTATTTTCTTGACCTGGTTGATTTTGCTCTGTAGGCTGTGAACACCATCACTCTCAGACTAAGACGTGCTGTCCCAGACAGGTTCCTTCATATGGGTAGACTTACCCGTAAATAACAGGATCTCCGCTTTGTAGTACTCATTGGTGGGACCTCTCACACACTGTCCAGAATCATAGTCCTCTGACTTCCCAATGCTGGGATTGTGGAGCTGGTGCTTGAATTTTGCAATGTCCCTCACCATGGAGACAATTCTGGACACTGTCATTTCATCCAAGAAACAAGGGCATAAAGAACAAAGAACAAAGAAAATTACAGCACAGGAACAGGCCCTTCAGCCCTCCAAGCCTGCGCTGATCCAGATCCTTTATCTAAACCTGTCGCCTATTTTCCAAGGATCTGTATCCCTCTGCTCCCTGCCCATTCATGTATCTGTCTAGATACATCTTAAATGACGCTATCATGCCCGCCTCTACCACCTCTGCTGGCAAAGTGTTTCAGGCACTCACCACCCTCTGTGTAAAGAACTTTCCATGCATATCTCCCTTTGGCATGTTCCATTACATCAGCAATTAACTGAATGATGCAGGGGGGAGAGAATTAAATAAAACTAGACAATGTGAGATTTTTCAAAATTTGTACATGGGACGACAGCGCTATTGACTAGGCAGCATTTAGTGCCCAGAGGGCAGTTAAGAATCAACCACATTGCTGCATGTCTGGAGTCATACGTAGGCCAGACCAGGTAAGGATGGCAGTTTCCTTCCCTGAAGATCATTAACGAGCCAGATAGGTTTTTCTGACAATTGACAATGGATTCATAGTCACCATTTGATTCTTAACTTTAGATAATAATTGAACTCAAATTCCACCATCTGCCATAGCAAGATTCAGACCTGGGTTCCCAGAACATTAGCTGGGTCTCTGGCGATAATACAACTACATAATACCACCGGCGATCATACCACGAGGCTATTGCCTCCCCAGTATAAAGAATCTCCCTGATTTGGAAATTTTACTTGTCCATTGAGTCCGATGCTGCCCAGTATAGTGTCAAAATTCAATGAAGAAATGTGCAGTAGATGATGGCTAATATGTCAAAAGGTGAATGGATCTACCTGCACCAGCACTGTCTTTACCTTACATCCAGGTAAGAAGAGAAACATTTTAATCTTTGTGCAGTTTGCATTACTGTTCTACCACTGGATGTAAACCCCCTTGCTACTCCAGGGATTAACAATGGGCTGGATATATCAGTTTCAAGCAGATTGCGTTGAAAGCCAGCTCTCAGTGCTGCAGCAGGCAGTTTTAAGAAGTCTTTATCAGCTTCAATAGGTTTAATTCAGCAGGCTTCTCCAAGTGAGGAGCAAGCTGCAGGGCCACAATGCAAGCAGTGCAGGTCAGTTTCAACCATTAAGTGTTCCTCTAGTCAGTTTCAACCACGTGAATTTCAGTTAGGTGTGTGGCTCTTAAAAGGACCTTGCGAAAAGCACGTTATTAATCAGCGCAGAACAAAACCAGCATACACCAGTAGATCTTGATCTAGTTTCAGTCTGGTTTCACACTTGACCACGTTTTTCTTCTGGATGGCTTGTGGGCTATTCTTGTGAGATTTTGCATTGCTCATTAGACATTCACGTGTGAGGATTGCATGCAGTTTTGTGGCAGGGGTGAGGAGGAAGTCAATGCCATTACTGTTACCTCATGTGGTCAAAGGTGCTACTGCTGCAGGCTTTAATTCCCTGTAAGCCAGGAGCATCTTTTTAGGAACTGTAACTGCAGCCAAACCCCCACCCATCTATTGATTGTGATCACCCATTTTGTCTGAGACTGGGCAGGGAGTGGCTGCACTGTTCAGCCATGCCTCACTGCGGGTTCTCCTCTAGGCCGTCCAGGAATGATGGCAGATCCTGTTTTCCAGGGACGATGGAAGAAGTTGCTCCTGTCTGACCAAGGAGGCCTGGAATGAAGTCCTAGCAATGGTTACACCCAGAGAAGAACCTGGCTGCAGTGCAGCAAGAAGATGAATGCTGTGCCCCACCTGGGAAAGTGACACAGTGTAATCACTGCAAAGTAACACTTTGAAGGAAACCTAGCAGTGCAAGCGTGTGAGTACAGAGGGCCATCAGATAGGAGTTTGGGATACAGGCCTCAGCAGCAGATGGAACATTGGATTCAATGTTCATAGGGGTCAATTTATGAACTGTAAGGTGCTTTTGCAGGGCTGTGTGGCTCTTTGTTGCTTACAGGGGAGGGCTCAAGAGCTCTCATGAACTTGCATGGGGTCAGTTAGCTCAATTGGCTGGATGGGAGAGGAAACAGCTGGATCTGCAGGAGGCACCTCTACTCAGGCAGCGGATGGAGAGAGGTCAAGGCTCAGGGCCTTCATTCAAATTCAGGGAGAGGAGAAAGCGGGACCTGAGGGACACATCTCATCACCTTCTGAACAAGATTGAGCTCTGTTTTTCAGAAGTTGAGTAGTGGCCAGTGACTCAGTTGTGTATCCACAAGGCAAAAGACTACATGGACAGCACATAAAGGGAGGTGGCCACACCAAAAAATAAAAGCATACAGGTAAAAAGGGTGACCACCAACAGTCTTGGACAACTAGGCAGGTAGTGGAGGGGTCCCTCAAGTCTATCCTACTTGCTAGCTGGTATTCTATTTTGGATATTGGTTCCTCAAGGGATTGCAGCCAACCTAAAGCAAGGGCATCATATTTTAATAAGAGAATTTACGAAGATATGAGGCACAAGTTAGTTGAAGTGATTTTGGAAATACATTAAAAGACCAAGTAATGGATAGTCTTTAAAGAACTCATACACGGCTTTTTGCAACAATACATTCTTTCAAGGTGGAAAAATGCAGCTCTTCCTCCGCTACATTGAGGACTATCAGTGATGCCTCGTGCTCCCATGAGGAGTTTGAACAGTTCATCAACTTTACTAACATCTTTCACCTCAACCTCAAATTCACCTGGAGCATCTTCGATACCACCCTCTCCTTCTTGGACCTGTCTCCATCTCTGGTGACTGCCTCAAAACTGACATCTATTTCAAGCCCACTGACTCCCACAGCTACCTGGACTATACCTCCTCTCACCCACCTACCTGCAAGAATGCGATCCCTTACTCCCAAATCCTTCGTCTCCATCACATCTGCTCCCAGGATGGGGCATTCCACTCCCGCACATCCCAGATGTCCTCCTATTTCAAGGACCATAACTTACCCTCTCCAACGATCGAAAATGCCCTCAACCGCATCTATTGCATTTCCCGCACTTCTGCCCTTACACCCCCAACAAAAATAAAGGTAGAATTCCCCCTTGTCCTCACATATCACCCCACAAACCTCCAGATCCAGTGTATCATTCTCTGCTACTTACAAACCGACCCCAAAGAAACATTTCCTTCCCCACCCCTATCTGCCTTCTGAAGGGACCACTCTCTCCGTGACTCTCTCGTCTGCTCTAGCCCCACCACACCCGGCACCTTTCCCTGCAATTGCAGGAGGTGCTACACCTGCCTGTACACCTACACCTCACCTCATTCAAAGCCCAAAACAAACCTTTCATATCAGACAGGGGCTCACCTGCACATCCATCAACTTAGTCCACTGTATCTGCTGCTCCCGATATGGCCTCCTCTACATCGATGAGACCAAGCATAGCTTGAAGACTGTTTTGTAGAGCATCTGCGCTCTGTACACGACAAATGACACCTTCCGGTCGTCAACCATTTTAACTCCCCCTTCCACTCCCTGGGTGACATGTTCATCCTGGGCCTCCTCCAGTGTCACAATGACACCACCTGCAAACTGGACGAACAAACCTCATATTCCATCTCAGAAGCCTACAGACCGATGGCATAAACATGGAATTCACCAGTTTTAAAATCTCCCCATCCCTGGCCTCATCCCATGTCCAATGCTTCCTCTCATCCCCGCCTCCTTGACCTGACAACCTGTCCATCTTCTCTCCCGGCTATCCGTCCCACCACTCCCTACCTGCACTCACCTATCACCATTCTACCTAACTTCCCCAGCCCCACCCCTCCACTCTATTTATTCCCAGCTCCCTTCCCCCTCCCCATTTCTAAAGTAAGGTCCTGACCCGAGACGTCAACTTTCTTGTTCTTCTGATGCTGCCTGGAACTGTGTTCCTCCAGCTCCATACTGTTGTCTTTATCTCAGGGAGCTTTTTCTGAAGCCAGGGGAGTGCAGTCTTTTCAGTGATTAGTGGACCTAGCCCCATGTTTCCCACTCAGGAAATACACAAAGCTTCTGAACGTGAGGTGCATGCTGCAGCACAACAAGAAACTGAGTCTGTGAAAAGAAAATGAAAGGATTTAGTTTGATGATATTTTCAATTCCTAGTCAAGTACAGCTTGGGATTTAGCAAACTGAGTGATTATGTCCTAATGCAACAGCGTAAAAGGCTCAAGGTACATACTGCACCATTCTGAAAATAGTTGCCATGTGATGAAGAAGCTAAATACCACTAACTGATTTACTTTAATTTCCATTCACAAGATAGACTCAAATAATAAAAGATTTGATTTCATCCTTCCATAACACTTCACTAAACGTGATCAGTGATTATCTAAGCAAATACAATGATTCCCTCAAAACGTTGTTAACTTCTTAACTTAGGTAAAATGAAACATCCAAAAATTGCATTTTATTTGGGTGACATAACAGACAAGGAAGCTAATGCAATGTTTAAAAGTTTCTCCCCATCATCATTTACATAATAAATAGTCTGGATTTGTGATTAGTGATGAAGTGACACTCACAACTGACATCAAAGAAAGTTGCCCATAAAGGTCTCTTTGAACTGGGTTTCATATTGCCTGACCTTAATTTATATCTGGCGTCAAGTAAAATGGATCCTGAGGTGTTCAGCAAGTGTGAGATCATCAGGCAGGGTAAGCAGCCAATCACATTATGGGATTCTTGGAGACCACAAGATGGGAAGTAAAAAGCATTGTGTGACCTTCACTTTTTATACATTTTGCAGAAAGCAAAATAAAGATTATAACTTACATTAGTTGAAATACTAGAATTAAACTGGATTTCATCATGATGGAAACATTTGACATTGCACAAATGTAAAATTAGAAAGGGTAAAACTGGTCTTCAGCAGTAGTTATTACCTGGTACACATTTTTTTTAAAGAAAAGTTACAACATTACTAAGGTATAACTTTTCCAGGGTTTTTACATCAATATCACAGTATAAAAAGTCAAGTTTTCATCAGTTCAGTGATTTCTCATTGATTTCCATAACTGGGGAGTTCAACAGTGCACTCCTATGGAGAGCAGAGAAATACAGAATAACCTTTGGATTTCAAAGTTCAACTGCGAATGCATGAATGGCAAAAGTTGCGTCAGTTTCACAGAGAAGTAATGACAGAGAACACTGCAATTTTGTCATCTGTATAATCACCACAAAATCTGGTCCATACAACTGATCAAAAGGGTCATGTTTAGAAAAAACATATTTTTCTAAACATGTCTAAAAAGCATGCACCAAGTCTACGTGGATACTTCTATTTCAAGTAGCCTGATTTGGTGCTTTTCTCTTATAAAAAAGCATCAGAATATTACCTACATAAAGAGCTATACATTGGTTTTTCTCTCCTCCCAGCCTGCTGTGATGAAAAAAGGCTGCACATTGCTCTGTGCTAAGCAAAAGATTTTCCAAATTTAGATCAGCCAACAGTGGCCTATAGTCAGGTTGTCAAGGTCCTAACAATTGCTGCGTGGTCTTAATTTATTTTTCACATTATTTAAAAAGATGTTGCCTGGGAACGTGTGAGGCTGCTCTTATCTTATTTACATGTTCAGAGCACGCTGGCAGTGAACCCCCAATTCAAGACTCTTTGTACAAGTAGTACATTTGATGCTTTTTTAAACACCAAATTCTCATTGGGTACTTCTTCCAGATCTTTATAACTATTAATTCCTTAATATAGTGTGAAGTAAAATTTACACTGTATCTTAGCATTACAAAAATACTACATTACTTTGACTATGTACATTATTTTGCTTTCTGAAACATATAATTTAAATTGAAGGTAAATTAAAAGTTTGGTCCCCAACATGATGAGATATATTTGGTGCAATATTCAACTCTGGAGTAGTGTCAAATCACATTCTTTTGCTTCTCTTTTCAGTTGTCTTCATACCTTCATTGCTTTGATTTGATCTGGTGAGTCAATAACACAAAATCAATAATCGTGATAGAAGCAGGACAGTAGGTGCTTTTCTCTGATATAATAAAATTTGCATAGTCCACTATAATCAAGTGTTGGCCAAAAATTGTAATTGTCCATTCTAAAAATAATAAATAATGTAAAATTATTGGTTCAGAAATAGTAGGAACAGCAGATGCTGGAGAATCTGAGATAACAAGGTTTAGAGCAGGATGAACACAGCAGGCCAAGCATTTTCTGAAGGGTCTAGGCCCGAAACGTCAGCTTTCCTGCTCCTCTGATGCTGCTTGGCCTGCTGTGTTCATCCAGCTCTACACCTTGTTATCTAAAATTATTGGTTACTGTATTACATGAACAGATAATTATCGGGGGGGGGCAAAAAAAAATCTCACAAACCAAGTATTAAGCTTGAGACGGGAACAATACTAGAGAAGGGACATTGATGGATCTAAGCAGATGGCGGCCATCTGGGATATTGCACAATATGTGACTAGGAAATGCTGGCTGTGCTCACTACGTTCCTTAAGTTAAAGCATTCTATTATCTGGTTTGGCATCTAGTCAGTGTCATAGAGTTACAGTCATATAGCATGGAAACGGACGCTTCGGCCCAACCAGTCCATGCCGACCATAATCCCAAACTAAACTAGTCCTGCCTGCCTGCACTTGAACCATATCTCTCCAAACATCTTGTATGTATGTACTTATTCAAATATCTTTTAAATGTTATAACTGTACCCACATCCACCTCTTCCTCTGCAAGTTCATTCCACACATGAACCACTCTAAAAATAAATTGGCCCTCATGTCTTTTTTTTTAAAAATCTTTCTCCACTCACCTTAAAAATACGGCTGCTAGTCTTGAAATCCCTTACCCTAGGGAAAAGGCACCTCCCATTCACCTTATCTGTAACCCTCCCGACTGTATAAACTTTGAGAGTAGGATCTGGGATGTTATGTTGAGTTTGTACAAGACATTGGTGACGCCTCTTTTGGAATACTGTGTCCAATTCTGTTCGCCCAGTTATAGGAAGGATATTATCAAGCTGGAGAAGGTTCAGAAGAGATTTACCAGGATGTTGCCGGGTATGGAAAGTTGGAGTTAGAAGGAAAGGCTGGACAGGCTGGGACTTTTTTCACTGGAGAACAGGAGGTTGAGATGTGACCTGATAGAAGTTTATAAAATAATGAAAGGTATAGATAGAGTTGAAAGTAGCTGTCCTTTCCCTAAGATGGGAAATTTCAAGACTAAGGGGTCACATTTTTAAGATGAGAGGAGGGAGATTTAGAAAAGACATAAGAGGCAAAATTTTCTTTTACACAGAGGGTGGTTTGTGGTGGAATGAACTTCCTGATGAAGTGGTGGATGCGGGTACAATTACAATGTTTGAAAGACATTTGGATGGATGTATGAACAGGAAAGGTTTGGAGGGATATGGGCCAGGAGCAGGTAGGTGCGACTAGTTTAGTTTGGGGTAATGTTTGCCATGGACTGGTTGGACCAAAGGGTCTGTTTCCCTGCTGTATGACTATGACCCCTCAGCCTATGCTCCAGTGAAAAAAGTCCCAGCCTATCCAGCTTCTCCTTATAACTCAAACCCTCCAGTCTACATTAGCAAAATGTCACAACAGAAAAAATGCTCCAGTTTTCCTTTCTATTACTTTCCTGTGATATCTGTTCACTCTAATTCACAGTGCAATGGCTGAAAGAATAACCAGCAGACTGTAGATTCTGTCATAATGACACAGACAGGTTACCTTCCCTGTGTGAACACATATCAGTGTTACTTATCTCAGGGTCAGAGGGTTTACTAAAATAGCAAGTACCCTACCACTTGTCGGAAAGTATGAGATGAGGGGGAGGCGATGGCCTAGTGGCATTTTTGCTGGACTGTTAATCCAAAGACCCAGATAATGTTCTGGGGATCTGGGTTCAAATCCTGCTATGGCAGATGGTAGAAGTTGAATTCAATAAATTTCTGGAATTAAGTGTCTAATGATGACTGTAAATCCATTGTCGATTGTTGGAAAAACCCATCTGGTTCACTATTGCCCTTAGGGAAGAAAACTGCCATCCTTACCTGGTCTGGCCAACATGTGACTCCAGACTCTCAGCAATGTGATTGACTCTCAACTGCTCTCTGGACAGTTAGGGATGGGCAATAAATGCTGCCCTGGCCAGTGACACCCTCATCCCCTGACTGAATATAAAAAAATAAGAAAAAGCTCAAAACTGTACAACAGAAATTCAGTTAAGAAACTTTGTGACAGCCCCTTGAAAAATTTGAGTTGTTTTAACGATTTTAGAGGATGATATAGAAAGACAGCATCTTACCAGCATCCCTTATCTTATTTTATTCAGTTGGTTTAGGGGGCTGTGGTGAAATGAGAGACTGAGGATCCAACTTGCTAGTCTCGTGATAAAATAGGCTTAATTTTTTAATAGGCTTAATTAATGAAAATAAAATTCATGATAGGCAGGTCAGCATTTACTATCCAGAGGGCAGTTAAGAGTAAATCGCATTGCTGGAGTCACATGTAGGCCAGATCAGGTAAGGATGGCAGTGTCTCTCCCTAAAGGATATTAGTGAACAAGATGGATTAGTCCAGCAATCAACAATGGATTTCCAGTTATTATTAGGCCCTGGTCCCCAGAACATTACCTGGATCTCTAGATTAACCCAGCGAATAATATCCCCAAATCTATCAACACATCTCACCCCACCCCCCCGACATTAATATACAACCCCACTTCTTCATAATTTGATGATTTCCAGTAAGTAATTAATCTCAAGAATATTTCTGCCTTTTGATTATTCAAGTGAGCCTCTAACAGATTTGAATTACGGTGCATCACGTCAAACTTGATTCCACCTTCATATGAGGTCTGAATATGCATATTTTTGGCATGGGTCACTGGAAAATGGATCTATTTTATCTTCCATAAAACAAAGCACTGATGCCAATTGCTGTGTTTCCACTGCCACCCTGATCAAGATTGGTTAACACTGTGGGAAAGGAACTCAAGAAGCCTTGGCTGTATGACCACACACGTTGGGCAAATTTGCTGAATATTAAAGTTTAACAATTAGAATTGGCATGGTTATAGCACAAAAGAAGGCCATTTTACTCATCATGCACATACCTGATCTCTGAAATAGCATCTGATAGTTCCACTGATCCTTTTCCCTGTAGCTCTGCAAATTTTCTCTCCTTAGATAATTATCCTCACTACTTGTTGGCTTATTGGCAATCATCTTACATTAATGACCATGTCATCAATGGGAACAGTTTCTCTATCTGATCTTTTTATACTCTTCATGAGTCTGAACATCTTTATTAAATCTACTCTATACCCTATCTTCTCCAATCTGTGTAAGTGAAGACATATTCCAATTTTATCATTTCACCTGCCTGAATTTGTAATTGCTTTTGTCAGATGCAGAGACATTATTTTTTCTGTAGAGTCCAATTTGTTTAGTTTCATAATGAATGGTAAGTGCTGCATCTAAAACAAGTTAAAGCAGCAAAAAGGACATTAAATGAGTGTGCTGGAAGCATTTGATATTATCAATGAAATTCACTTTCTGCACTTCATGGAAAGCACAACGATACAGATCAGAAGTCATTTCGTGAAATGGCCTGTTGGAATGAGCTATGCAATTAGTTCCTCTTCCTTGCCTTTTCCCTATTCCTCAAATCTCCCATCTCCAAGTATTTATCCCATGTCCTTTTGAAAGGTAGCATCAAATTTGATTCCACCACCACTAGAGAAGCAGCATTATTTAAAAACTTAATAAATTAGTTTGGCAAATGCTTTTTAAAAACTCAGCAATCATATGTAATTGCAACAGAGATCTTCATTCTGAAAAATCCTTACATATATAAAAGGCACTAGTCCACTTTCAAAGCTCTTTAAAAAGAGCTAGACAGACAGTTATAATGTAGTGACTCGACTATTTTCTCAAAGTCAGATTGCCAACTGGCTAATTGAATCCATTTGATACGACAACAGGAATTAAATCGGACATATGTTATCACTCTCGTTGCTATAAATGGATGAATGAATGAGCTCCACGTGATGATATTCTGGCAATTAAGTGGATATAAAATATCAGCAAAATAATATTAAAATTTTTCAAACATTGCATTAATGGAGTATAATATGGATAAAATGACCCCTTAGATGACTGTAGCCTGCAGGCAGTAGCAAATGAAATTATTGCACATTGTTGGGTCAGAGAGTAGTGGGTTCATTATACTGTGACTGATGTTCCAGAGCTACGAGTATTTGATTATTAATGTAAAAATTCAACTGTGGCCCAATATCATTGAGGAAAACATTTTTACTACAATATTTCACACTAGCTGACTGTGACCTTTCCAACATGCAAGAATTAAGGATACAGATTTGTGCTGTTGACTCATGGCAATCAGGAACTAGATTGAGACTACCTTAATTCATTTTTCTTGGGGATCACACAGTTCACACATAAAAGAGACTTAATTTTATAAATTGGTACCGTATTCAAATTCACATTCCTAGAAGATGACAACTTTTCATTACTTTGAAACCCAGACATCCTGCAAATGTGTTTCACTTTTAATCATAAAACACTGGCCCCCCACCCAAATAATTTGGAGTTGTAATTATAACAAATTAATTTTGTAGGAGTTACAAGACATGGGTTTAACCACCTGTATCCATAAACTCCTCCCATCTATATTCACTGTTAAAATATTTTGTTTGAAAATGTCTAATTTAAGAAAAAATAGGGAGAAAGGGGAAATAAATTAAACAAAAGAACAAAAAGACAGGAAACGTTTGGTTTAACCATATAAAACTATATAGTACCTGCAGTCAAAATATGCCTGACACCTAGTGGCTGATATTTTATTTGCTATGGCTTGCTGTAATTATTCATCAGATGACTACAGTGGCATTTCTGTACATAATGAAGATAAAATGAGGTTTAATATCAAATTCTGAAAATAATACAATTAATAGAATCTCTATGCATTTGCTCGATTATTCTAATTATAGTTTCTAACATTCAACATCCGATTTATAGATTATTGATCATTGCAGAAATAATTTTAAGAAAGTTTAAAAGTGTACATGATGTAAGATGTGGATGTTTATTAACGGACATGCAAAGAACAAAATTTCCATATTGTTGTTTCAAACGTATTTATTACATTTAAAAAAAAAGAAACTTTAGATAATTCCCTCACTGCTTTCCTGCCTTGTCCTTATTTGGTTAAGAAGTTGGGTTCAGCTAAGGCACTGTATCTTCCATGGTTGCTTTCAATTCCACTGTAGATTATACAATAGATGCGTTTCACTAAAAACGACAGTTTGTCTCTCTGGGTGCCTGTCTATAATTTGTAGGCTATAAATATATATTAGGATGTGAATAATGTTGATGATCTTATCAGATATATGAACAGTCCATCTCCATTTAGATATTTAATTGTCCTCAAACTGCTCTCATTGCTTTCTCCCTTATAGCAAAAAAATCTGAATACTGATAATTCCCAAGTGTAATTAATATTTAAACATTAGGATTAAATACAATATTGCAATCAAATTTTAGAATACATGAATAATTAATTCAGGTTTTGATTTTTTATGACATAATTGTTAGTTTGCATGGTTAATTTTAAAAATAAGAAGTTTTTTTTAAACAAAACTTTAATATCCAACTAAAACTGGCCCAAATAATTAACTTTAAATGCAGACATGATGGAAATATGTCACAGAAATTAAAGTGATAATACAGCGAGAATTGTATCATTTTGGAAAGAGAGTCTGATTGTTCACTTTTTTGTATTGCACAAAAGGCAAAGTATTTTTAATTTTCACTTCCTAGCTGTGAGGAGCAATACAATTAATCAGATTGGGAATACCTTTGTTGCTCAATAAGGCTAGACACCGAAATCTAAACCCTGGAGTGCGTCTGAAAATATATCATTAATATTTACAAATTTATTTTGCATTCCATCTGAATGGCATACTGATAGTGAACAGCTGGCTCCAAGACAGTGTAAACTGTAGATTTTGCAGAGTTTTGTCAGTTTGGTAACAAGTTCATCTCCAAATCAAAAGGTTAGGTGTTTCAATCCCACTGTAGGACTTTGGCATTTAATCTTAAATTGATAATGTTGAAAGAGTTTGCATTGTAGGAGATGTAATTTTTGGACTGAAAGCTAAGATTTTATACCACAACTAAGAGTTTCAGTGATTTAGGCGAATGTCCATAATTTTATGACACAATATGAAGAATAGCATAGTATTCTTAGTTAACTTCTTCCCTGAACTGTATCCATCAAAAACAGATTAATTGATCATTCATCTTGCTTCTGCTTGAATGACTTTGCTGCATTTGACTACAATAGAGTGATGGACTTAGATCATTAATTCAACAGTGAATTACTCAAGCAGGAGCATGGGACTTTATAAAAGCAAGCACTTTCTTCTCTCCTGCCAAAGTTTATAATCTATAATAATTTATTCACCTTTGATGTTCAGAATAAATTTCCTACTTATGAAATAAGACAAGTTCTTTCAAAGTCACTTACACTTTTATCATTGTTGCATTTATTTTGTACTGTAGTTTTGATTATGGATATACATTCATCAGCATAGAGTCCTAAAACTGCAAAAATGACATGCTATGCAGGACAGTCATACTGCTAACACAATGCTCATGAGTCACATGCAGTGAACAGGGCAAACACAAAAATCTAATGTAGCGTAAGGAAGGGACATAAATACGTGCATGAAGCTTACTTATGCAAGGTGCTTTCTAAGGTATTAAAATGGGAGTTAATGGAACATTGTTAAGTTACAAAATTATACCTTGGAGCCAGTCAACACCTTCTTGTAGTCCTTCCCCTTTTATTGCATTACTGGCACTAAAAAAAAAATCAATAAAGTAAACTGTCAAACAGGCTACCAAGAATATAATGTAGCCACATCACCCAACATGTGCTTATTCAAAGCAGCTTCCAGAAATAAATATTTTAGACTCATTTTAGTTAACCATAGTACTGGCAGGGAGTCTTATTTTTGGAAATCATTAAAGGAACACAAAATCAAAGGAAACATCCAGCAATGTCCTGATACATACTTTGAGGGTGCCTACTAGGTTTTTTTCTAAATAAGTACAGGATGAAATAAATGCTAACAGTTTATATTTTTGCACTATACTTTCAATAGTGCTTTCGGTTCTGCACTAGTCTCACAAACAAAATACAAAATAGAAAAACAAGAAATTCTATTACCCAATACTGATAACTTTTCCTTCACAACTTTTAAAGGAGGCAGAAACTGTTCCTAAAATTTCAAGATGATTAAATATTTCAAGAAGACTTCAAGGGTGGCCCAGTCACTCAGTGGTTAGCACTGCTGCCTCACAGCATCAGGGACCCGGGTTTAGATTCCACTCTCAGATGACTGTTTGCACCTCTCCGTGTCTGCGTGAGTTTCCTCTGCATGCTCCAGTTTCCTCCCACAATCTACAGTTAGGTTAGGTGAACTGGCCATCCTAAGTTGCCCTTATATATCCAGGGCTGTGTGGGCTAGGTGGGTTAGTCATGGGGAATGCAAGACTACAGGGATAGGGTAAGGGGTGGGTCTGGATGGAATGCCTTTCGGACGGTCGGTGTGGACTTGATCGACCAAATGGCCTGCTTCCACACTGTAGGGATTCTACGATACCAATTTTTTTGCGTTCATAATATCTGAAAGCAAAATCAGTGTATTGCTTAAAACTAATAAAGGTATTACCAATGAAAAAGTGGACAATACAGCTCATGAGCTTAACAAATAGGGAGTCCATCCAGGTTACAATTCACACCTAAGGAGCATTTCAATAAACGAGGCAGATATTTTGCTGACAGAGCTAAAAATGGAGCATGTTTTAACTTTCATGTGCAATTTCGAAGAATCAATATGGAATGAAAACATATGCAGGTCTGGTCATCCACCTTTAACTGCAGTGCTATAATCATGTAAATATTTACTGCCATCATGTGGCGAAACTTCAACTCTGCACTGGATTGACAAATTGGCCAATTTAAAACTTGTCTGATCCTTAGCCGTGGTATTTATTTAATAGGGTCAACTATTCTTAGAATATTTGGGCACATGAATATCTCTTCAATTAAAGGTAAGGATAAAGTAGAAAATTTCCACTTGAAACATAATTCCATGAGCATTCACTCTTTTACAAGTGTCATGTAGAACTATGTGGTTACAGAGAAATAAACATGCTGACATAAATAGGCTGTAATTCTGCTTACCAAATATGCCAAGCCTTATCTTTGATATTTTCTAAACACAACATTTGGGAAACCTTGACAGACGACAAAGCATCTTTGAGGTCCATCTTGTTTGCAAAAAATAATATTGGAATTCGTCTGTGTTTAATGTCTGAAAGCAAAATCAGTTTTTACTTTAATTAATAAAAGGTCAGAAATATTTTTGCCTCAAATACATACTCTAAAAAGATGAACAGTACACCTGATAATCCTGGCAAATGAAATGTTCTTTATTTATTCACGGGATGAGGGCATCTCTGGCTAGGCCAGCATTTACTGCCATCCCCAATTGCCTGGAGGGCAGTTAAGAGTAAACCACATTGCTGTGGGTCTGCAGGCACGTGGTAGGCCAGACCAGGTGAGGATGGCAGTATCCATCCCTAAAGGACATGAATGAACCTAAATGCTACTAAGTTTTAAGATGTTGCCTTATCTATTTTTTCAACAGTTTACTTTGAATTTCTTCCAGTGAAAGAATTACCTTAAGGCAGTTACCTGTGGAACTAGTGTTGCTGGCTTAAATAATCTAAAGATGCTGATGAGTCTGAATGATGTCGCCATTAGAGAGTCAGTTGGGTAAGCGATGGCGAGATCAGAAAATGAGATTCTTGATGTTGAGAAAAAAAAGTCTGATTTTCCATCCAAGATTTTAACGCCAGAATGAGAAACTGGTTAGTGAGTAGCAAGAGGCCTATTTGCATACACTGACATCTCCTCACTACCTAATTTCGCTTCATTTAGAATGAGCTTGCTATTTTCCCAGGCAATGGAATGGTAATGATTCCTGACATGAAAATCATAGCGGGTATCTGGTGGCTCCAGCTTGACCAGTATTTTCCAAGATTCAGAGAATGGTCCATGCTCAGCAACCACCTGCATTCGTCGTCCAAGGAAGCTAACAATGGATACGCACCAGACTCACTATGAGTCACAGCCACCTCAAAATCACTTGTGGTAGAGCTCACCACTTCAATACTGCAGTCATACTAAGCTCACTGATATCTTTCATTGTAATGCTGATACGCACCCAATTGGGGTGCATCACAAAACTCTGACGCCTCATCAACTTTGGAATTCTCTGCCTCACCACTTCATTCAGAACTTAACAGTTTCAGCACTTCTGTCTTGCCTTTTAGCATAGAGACAAAGCCTGTCATGGTTGCCAGCAGTGATTAGTCATGGAGGTGGTCATGTTGCAGAACAGCACTGAGCTACATTTGTTCTATGGTGCTCCCATTGAACGTAGATAATTTAAAATGCCCAAGACAGTGGCGGAGTAGCAGCACAGCGTCTGAGCTTCTGGACTGGGGCTCATTCAATTCCGTCTGCTTTTTCTCTTTCTCTTTTTACTTTTGCTCTTTTTTCTTCTCTTTAAAAGTCTTTCCCGACGTCTTCGACAGGGCGAGACGAGGCCTGGCCTCGCCTCCCAAGCATGTGTGGCAGCAGTGGCGACAAAGTCAGCAACTCCCAGCATTGACAGCTGTGAGACTTGTGGGAAAGGATGGCAAACCCAGCGTGTAGGAGAATGAGCCCTGAGGTGATGTCAGCAAAATGCGACCAGCAACAAAAGGTGGCTCCTTAGCATCGGTGACTTCATCGTTGGCATCGAAGCAATGGCAGGAGAGCACCATGACAACATAGTTAGTCTCCGACTTTGTTGTACACGGCGCAGACAGTGAGAAAGGTGAACTGGCCCAACAGCAAAAGATGACGCCTTTGATGACTTCGATGTTAGTTGAGTCTGGTGAGGTGGTGGTGGTTCCGAGCAGGCTCAGAACTCAAATGTAGACTGATTTCACTTTAAACCATATCTTTTCATTTTCTCTTATTCTTAAACTATGAAAATCTTGCCAGGCATGACAACCTGAGCTTATTATAAGCAGAATCAAAGTGATTGAGATTGCCTTGCAAATTTGTTGCAAAATGGGCAACAACATCTGCAAGCTGTACATCATTCATGTCATGGTGGTTAGTTTAGTTCTTATATAGAAGTAATTGAATTTAAAGAGCTTGTCATCTGGGTGGCATTTCATACTGATTCTAGACAGCAGTTGATCTTTGATGAAATGATTGGCCATTGTCAAGTCAATAGCAAACATTCTGGAGGCTACCACAGACTGCAGTCCAGAAATTAAGGGGCCCATTCAGTGTCCCACTCCCATATAATTACGAAACAACTGTAGGTTTGTGAAGAAAGCACAGTTAATGTTTCAGGGCCTGTGACCTTTCTTCGGGACAGTTTTGAACAGCCACTGGACCTAAAGCATTATACTTTCTCTCTACAAATGCTGCCAGACCTGCTGAGTTTCTACAGAAATTCCTGTTTTTATATTAAATAATGATGTCACTTAGGTGTTACAACAGCTCAACATAACACAAAAGTAAAGAGCAATGAAACAAGTGCATTTTAAATTTAAAAAATGTTATATTAAATAAACTAAACAAATTCAAAATCAGTGAATTAAACCTGTGGTCCAGACAGATTATAACCATATACTTTGAAAGAATCAAGCACAGTGATAGCAGTGGCATTGCAATGTATTTCATAATTTGCTACAGAACAGTGTAGTGCCAAAAAAACTGATGAACAGTTAAAGTACTTCCTATATATAAGAAAGGGGCCAGAACGTGTCCAGGAAATTAGTGACCAGTTATTTTAATATCAGCAGTAGGAAAAATAATGCACTCTTTATGAAAGGAGAGAATAGAAGAAAATCTAAAAAAGATAAATATAAGAATGAATAGTCAGCATGGATATCAAAAAGAAATATTTTGCTTAACTATGCTTATTGAAATTTTGAGAAGGTAACAAAAAGGCTCAATGGTGGTAATGCAGACATGGTTTATCTTAATTTTCAAAAGGACTTCAATAAAGTGCCCCATAATGGACTAATGAATATGCCAGAGAATGTGGAATGAGGGGACCAGCAGGTGGTCTAATTAGACCCTTAAGATTCTGGAAAGTTTTTCTACAATGGATATACACAATGATTTCTCTTCTGGGTAAAAACACACCTCCAGTCCATCAATATAAAATGGTGACCATGAAATCCAATTGGGATTTTGGAAGGAACTTCTTTACTGAACGAGTGGTAGCTGGCTTCAAGACAAAAAGCAGACAATAGGATTAAAGGGCAGTTACTTATTGAGTGTGAAGTGATGCTCCACAAGGATCATTACTGACAGGGACCACTGTTGTTCACAGTTTCTATTAACAATTTGGACTCTAATATTAAAAAAATCGCAATTTCTAAATTTGCAGAGGACAACAATATTGAGGATTGCAACAAACTACTATATTAATAACCATGAAGTAAAGACAAACAATTGGCAAGTTCAAACTAGGTAACTGTCGTACATTTTGGTAGGATGAAAAGAGAGGTCGTATTACTTGGAAAGGGCAAACCTAAATGGGGTAGATGAGGAAGGGATCTTGGAGCACGAATATAACGAATTACTGAAAATTGCACCATAGGTTCGTCAGGCCACAAAAATAAACAAACCCAAGTACTAGGCTTTATTTCTAGAGCCATAGAATTGAAAAGAAGGGGAGGTATGCTAAACCTGTATGAAATCTTGGTTTGAATGCACAGAAGTACTGTGCATCATTCTGGTTGTCATACTACAAAAAGAACAGAGGGGGCGCTGGAGAGGATGCAGGGAAGATGCCAAGGATTTGCAGTCGGAAAGGACTGATGGGCTGGATCTGTTTTCGTTTGAGGTAAAGCAGAGGGGTGGTCTAATTAGACCCTTAAGATTCTGGAAAGTTTTTCTACAATGGATATACACAATGATTTCTCTTCTGGGTAAAAACACACGTACAGTCCATCAATATAAAACGGTGACCATGAAATCCAATTGGGATTTTGGAAGGAACTTCTTTACTGAACGAGTGGTAAGAACGTACAACTCACAACCACAGGAAGCTGTTGAAGCAAATAGTAGATGCATTTATGGGGAAACTAGTCAAGCATTTGAGGGAGAAGGAGCTAGAAGATTACAATGGTAGACTTAGTTGAGGAAATGTGGGAGGAGGTTGAAGTGGATATCAAACACCACCTTGAACAGTTTGACTCTGTGATGTTTATCCTGATGATCCTTATTTCAGAAAAACTGGCACCAAAACACAGTTGCAATGAACACAAGACAAAATTCTTGTATTACTGCATCATTGTACATGTTCCACATTGGTTATACATGTTGTTTTAAATCAATGCTTTCAAAACAAAATTAATCATTTTCAAAATGCAACTCTGCTTTGAAATGTCATCTCTTTAGTAAACATTTCTCAGGTGCTTACATCAACTGAACAGATTTCACCTTGGAATAATTTCTATATCAAACAGGAACAGCAGGCAGGAGAAATTATCACAATAATTTTGATGAAGAAAATTATTCGTTCTGGAACTTGTATATTTCAAAAAGACTTTATGGAGTTTTACACCAAGTGAAGTTAGCAGCAGCCACATTTAAAAGCTGTTTGACCACATTTACCATTTAGCTCAATTGTGAGTAAAAACCTTCCAGGTCCCAGTATAATCTTAAGGCACATTTAAGCAGCTTATTTAGCAGCTTGTGTTACAGCTGGAACTCTTATGCAAGCTTAAGTAATATGTTAACAGCTTCTCTTGAACACTAACAGTTATTTTTTTTAAAAAAGGAATCATCAGCCTTTACTAGGTAAAACACACTTTTGGCTATTTTTATAGCTGTCAGAAGAAGATGAATGAATATTTCTTAAAGGTAAAATGAAACAGAAGCAAAGATAAATGATCCTACCTGGATGATTAAGAAGTGTGTCAAGTTCTTCTTTGGCAACCACCATCCTTAATTTGTCACTGCTATCAACAACAAAAATGATGGCCTGGCCTTCCCTGAAGTGCCAAGGAGAAAATATTATACTGTTAATACTCTATCACTTTGGTCAAACCGTATGAATATTGTACAGTGTAGCCAATATATTGCATACATCATTCCAAAATGGTCGACCAATATTTTGCTACCTCACTTTTAACAACTTGATACTTAAGCAACCATGATTTAATTCTTAGCTAAATAAACAAATTGGCAATTGTTTTTTTCTACAGTATCTGCCAATTGGCAGCACTTTCACTTCTTAGAATAAGATGCAAGTTTGCCTACTCAGCTAGTTATTTGTCCATCAAACAACAGCACCAAAGGCAGACAAAATTATCATTTTTTGTCATTGCATTATTGCTATTTTGTTTTATGAAACAACAGCAACTAAAACTCATTGGCTTTAAAATACTGAGAAAGTATTATACAAATGCAAATTATTCCCTCATATTTTGTGACCTGGTTAGCCATGGACTGGTTCTGAAAATGCAAGTTTATGAAATTAAACAGAAAATAATTAAAAGTCATTTAAAACAGCTTAAAACATTTATTTCTGTTGGCAGAAATGGTATGTGGGTGTAATTACATGAAACTGTTTATTAATTCTGATTTTGGAAATTACTAGTTGACAAATTAACCAAAATTAACAATGTAGTAAAGTAAAGTCAGACCACAGCTGGAATACTGTGCACAGATTTTGTCCCTGTATTTAAGGGAAGATATACTGGCCTTGGAGGTAGTCCAGAAAAGATTCACTAGGTTGATCTTGGATATAGAGGGTCTGTCTTAAAAGGAGAGGTTGAGTAGGTTGGGCCGATAGAGGCAATCTTATAGGGATTCTTAGGGAACTTGACAGGGTAAATATGAAAAGGTTGTTTCTCCTTGCATGTGGGTTTAGGACCAGACAGCATAATCTCACAATAAGGGGTCTCCCATTTAAGACATAGCCGAGGAGAAATCTCTTTTCTGAGAGCATAGTGAATCTGTGGAATCCTTTACTGCAGACGGTGGTCAAGCCTAGGTCGTTAACTATATTCAAGACTCAGCTAGACAGATTTTTAAATCTGAAAGAAAATTAAGGGTTATGAGAAAAAGACAGAATTTGAGGATTGTCATCAAATCATCCTTGATCTCTAAATGGCAGAATAGACTTGATGGGCTGAATGACCTACTTCTGCGCTGACATCTTATGATCTAAAGGAACATTATTTTGTTTCTTTAAGATGGATTTTAAAATTCATTCATTCCAGGCAAGAATCATAAATTTGAGCACACTGCACACCACACAATAAATCAATAACTAATCCATTGACTTTAAAAGATAATTCACTAACACAGCCACATTTCTTCAGTAAACTTACAATTGCAAACTCATAAGAGAAGGTACTGTGGTTGCATGTGGTATAATGATAAGGGAACACAGATTTAGGATTTTAGTAAGTACATCCTTCCTCAGATAGACACCAAAACAGTACATAGACGTCAGGTGCAATCTCACCAAGGTTTGATACAACTGCAATAAGGCATCTTAATCAAATTGCCTTGAAATGAATGCTAACATAGCATTTGACTTCCTAACTCTTGCTACTCCTGCATGTTAGTTTTTAGTCATTCATGGACAAGGACACCCAGATCCCCCTAGAAATATTCTGCCTGTGTGTATTTTTTTTTACACCAAAAAGTGAATAACTTCACAATTATTCACATTATCTTCTATCTGCCACATTCTACCATTTAGCCTGTCCAAATCCTCTTACAGCCTCCTCACAACTTGGATTCCCACCCAACTGGAACTATTATTCTTGCAAAAATGTTAAAGGTACCATTTTCAATCCTTGAAAAAACTATCACCTTATTAATGGATGGAAACCAATGTCATTTACACTGTTCAATTATCATTCCAATAATAAAGTATGAACAGTCTCTTCCAAATATGCTACAAATATTTGAAAATATTGCCAAGTTATTTATTTAGTTATAAAATAAGTGCTAATTTCTTGCACATTTCTAGATTTTAAAGTTCTGTAAAGATAAAGTTAAAAAGTTTAGATAAAATAGATATAAAAAAGCTATTCATTCAGTTTTATCCAATAATTCTGTTTAAAACAACCTTGACTGATAGCACAAAATGTTTCTTCCTGATTTAGGTAGTTTTTTTTTATTTATCATAAAAGTTAAAAAGCGAAGTTATATATTTTGAACAACAGGTTTCTCATGATTTAACTAGCTTTGCCATTGCGCTTAACCTCTAGTTGGATATCTATACAATTTTTCTATGAATTTACTGCATTTTGTTCTTTACACAGCACTTACTTATAATAGTGTTCCCACAGGTTTCGATATCTACCCTGGCCAGACATATCAAACACTGTAAAGGACAGGCTAGGGAAGGAAGAGAAGGAAAAGCATCAACTTGGTGTTTGACACATTTGCAAACAAAATAGCATGCTTGATTTCCCCAAATCAAGCAATGGAGATATCCGCACAAGTACATTTTCCATTTGTTCAACATAAACCTAAAAATCAATGTTAACAATAATCATGACAAATGTAGAACAAAGATATTTCAATAGGTTAATGCTTCATTTAAATAGCTGATGGGGAACTTCATTCACACCAGTGTTTGCTCTTCACTAAACACTGTCAGCAGGCAGATTTCACATACTCTCTATACTGGTACACAACCCACTCACCATATTGACAGAACAAAAGTTCTGTAAAACTGCACTGTTTATCTGCACGTAATACTGCACAACTATCTAAGACCGCAACAACTATCAGAACGCAGAGAGAATATCACAGGGACCTCCACGTACGTACACTCAGTAGAACTTCCGCTACATCTCATTGTTCCAAACTCTGTTATTACAATCTTATCATGTTAACTATCAAACCCCACTATATGGAATGAAAGAACTTGTTCACTGAGAAAGGGTTTTGTTTTAGAACAAATGTGTTGGCATTCTGTTTTTTTGTAGTAACAAGATTTGAGTGCTCAATCTGGTAAAATTTTTCCACATATTACAATTGGAAATGGTTAATCTTATTGGACCAATTTTGTTCAGATTGTTGAGGCATCAAAATGAGTTATTTTCTACAACATGCTCTATATGTGTCACATTGGGAAAAACATGAATGCTTCATTAACATGGATAAAGAACACTACTAAACAATAATTCTAATTAATCCTTTCACTTTAATTATCAGTATATAAATAATTACACTGATAACAAAAATGGAAATAAGTAGTCATCGTAATTGCCGCTAGTTTCCTTGATCAGGAAGGTATGAGCGTCCAAACTAGTGCAAACTTGCTCACATACAGCTTTAGCAATATTGTACTTGATATGATCGGATGCTGAAGGGTAAGGCCCTCCTTACAAAATAAATAATTTAATGATCGGAGGTCAAATATGACATATGATTGTGAACACAGACTTAGTCTCAGACTGTAGCTAGGGTGACAGATGGAATTGATAGTTGTGGAACAGAGTTTGGAGGCAGGGTGGTATTTAAATTAGTTGGAAGGGTGCCAGGTGGGGAATGTGCACCTTGCCACCTCTGTCCTGATTACATCTGGGGCACAAAGACTCACGGTTGCCCTTCCATTCCTGAAGCCAACTGCAAACATGAAGTGGGCAGTTAATGTCCACTTAAAGGCCTTATCCGCTACCATTTGAAATCAGTTGGCAGTGGTTGGGAGACTCGCCATATTGTTGCGAAGTTGGGTAGAGTACTTGTGGACTGGAAGGCAGAAAGTCAGAATTGGGTGTTTCCAAAATGCCTGCGTGTGCGTGTGTGCTTGCGTGTGTGAGAGTGGGGGGGGGGTGGCGGGGTTGGAAATTGGGTGGGGGAGGAAGCAGTGAGTGGTCCCTTTAAAAGATGATGTGCTTTTTCTAAGCTTAGAGATATGGGGTCAGTATCTAATAATAAGAGATGAAAATATTTGTACTCCCTGTGAAATATTGCCTGAGACAGTGATAATCTGTAGAATAAATGGAAAGAGAATCAGTGTTCCAAACTGGAGAGGGGAAAGAGAATCAGTGTTCCAAACTGGAGAGGAGAAAGTGGGACTGATAGAAAGAGTGGCTATTCCAGGAATACAGTTTCTTTTTAGAAACGATATAGCTGGATCACAGGTGGGAGTGATGTCGCTTGTGGCAGAGAAGCTGAAAGAAAACTAGGGAACTGAGGAGTTTAAACGAAAAATCCCTAGAATTTTTCCAAAGTGTGTGGTGACAAGATCCCATTGCCATAAGTTAAAACAAGAAGGGAAAACAAAAGATAAAGATAAAGGAGTTGATATCTAGTTAGGTGACACTCTGTTTGATGAAACGGTAAAGGAAAAACCTAAGCAGGCAGACAATCAGGTGGAGGTGTTTAGTTCTGAAAGATTAATGGAGTTACAACAAGAAGGTGAGACGATAAAGGATTTATATCATAAAGCCTATTCGGAAAAGGAATCAGAATGTATTCCAGAATGCTATTACCTTAAGGATAAAATCTTAAGGAGGAAATGGAGACATTGTCAGGTTAGTGCAGATGAGAAATGGACGCAAGCTCGCCAGACAGTGTTGCCAGTAGAATACAGACATGAAGTATGGCGGGTAGTAGACGAATTACCTGTAGGAGGTCATCTAAGAGTGAGGAAGACTCAGGTTAAGATACAGAAGCATTTCTATTGGTCTGGATTAGATAAAGATGTGTGGTTGAATTTTGCCATACCTGTCATGAATGTCAGATGATAGAAAAGACAGTAATAAAACAAGTGCCTTTGATGCCAATTTCCACATTTGAAGAACCTTTTACGAGGGTTATGATTGATTGTGTAGATCGCTTCCAAAAAACCAGAAGTGTGATCCAGTATTTGCTAACCATAATGGATACGTCCCCCAGATTTCTGGAGGCAATTCCATTATGGAATGTCAAGGCAAAATAGATTGTGGAGGAGTTGCTTGCTTTCTTTACCCATTATGCATTACTGAGAGAGATTCAGTCAGACCAAGGGTCCAATTTTACTGCTAAACTATTTAAGGAGTTCATGGATAGTTTAGGCATCAAACACTTTCAAACAAGTGTGTATCATTCTGAGTTCCAGGGAGCATTGGAAAGGTGGCATCAGACCCTAAAGACAATGCTGAGGGCTTACTGCCAGGATTACCCAAATGATTGGGATAAAGATATCCCATTTATATTATTTGCTATTACAGATGCTCCAAATGAATCGACACAATTTATTCCTTTTGAACTGATATTCGGACACCAAGAAAGAGGGTCCGAAGTCAGAGATCTCACAGTTGGATTATGTATCTGAGGTAAGAGAAAGATTAAACAGAGTAGGTGAATTAGCTACACAACATTTGAAGATGGCACAGCACTCAATGTAGCAAGAAACAGATAAGAAATCTAAAATTCGTACATTTGCCTGTGGGGATAAAGTGTTGGTGCTGATACCAGTGGTAGGAGATTTCTTCAAAGCAAGCTTTAGTGGTCCCTATCAGATTAAGAAGAAATTAAGTCAGGTAAATTATCTGGTAAAGATGTTAGATAGGAAAAAAAATTATTGGGTATGTCATGTGAACAAGCTAAAACCTTACTCTGACAGGGAAACGGAACGGGAGAAACAGGTATTAGTTACTCCTACTCAGTGTGAGGAATCAAATCCAGATGATTTGGATTTTGATGTGCTTCAGAATAAATTTAATAATGAGGAAGTCCTTAAAGAATGGGATAGGGTAGTGAGCTATCTGTCCCAGGAACAGAGAACTTAATTGCAAGAGTTGTTACAGTGCTATGAGAACATATGTAGAAATAGAATGAGGAGGTTGACATAGGCAATGCTGTTCTGAATAAACAACACCCCTACAGATTTAATCCTCTCAAAGCAGCGCAGGTTCAGAAGGAAGTGGAAGCGATGCTCCAAGAAAACATCATTGAGCCAAGTCAAAGCAAGTGGAGTTTGCCGATCGTGTTGGTTCCCAAACCTGATGGTACTCAATGATTCTGTGTAGGTTATCAGAAGGTCAATGCTGTGACCAAGTCTGACTCATACTCAATTCCAAGGCAGGAGGACTGTGCGGGAAAAAATGTAGGACAAGCCACTTACATAACAAAGTTAGACTTATTTCACGGTTACTAGCAAGTACCTGTGTAGGAGAGAGCAAAAGAAGTTTCTGCCTTTATAACCCAAAATGGGCTACGTCAATTTAATGTAATGCCATCTGGAATGAAGAATGCACCAGCCACTTTTCAAAGGCTTATGAACAGAGTTGTTGCAGGATTCACTAATTGAGCCATCTATATAGATGACATAATCATTTTAGTCATTCGTGGAAAGATCACATGGAGCACTTGGCAGAGCTCTTTGAGAGGCTACAGAAAACAAAGTTGGTCATAAACTTGGCAAAAACAGAATTCGCGAAGGTGGAAGTGATGTTCTTAGGGCACAACATCTGACATGGATGGATGGCACTAAGAAACGTGAAGACAAAGGCCATCGAGGAATTTCCAAGACTATCCTAGAAGAAGGAAGTGCTATGATTTTTAAGATTGAGTAGATTCTACAGGAAATTTGTATGCAACTTTAATAGTGTGGTGACACCGCTGACAGATTTGCTAAAGAAGAACACAAAATTTCGGTGGACAGACCAATGCCAGCAGGTATTTGAGAATTTAAAAGCAGTGTTAACCACCGTGCCAGTTACAGCTATGCCAAATTTCTTGAAACCCTTTAAAGTTGCCATCGATGCAAGCGATGTAAGGATTGGAGCTGTGTAGTTACAGGAGGATGATTGTAGAATTGAAAAGCCAATCAGTTATTTAAACAAAAACTCAATATCCACCAGAAAAAAAATATTCAACCATTGAAAAGGAGAGTTATTCCGTTTGGTAATGGCTTTACAACATTTTAATGTTTACGTTGCAAACAATGCATCAGAGTCAATTGTGTATACCGATCACAATCCTTTGACATTTCTGGAAAGATTCAAAGACAAGAACGCTATAGTACTTCACTGGAGTCTCATGTTACAAGCATTTAATTTACAGATTGTACATGTTGTGGGTCGTGAAAATATTATTGCAGATGCTTTATTGCGAGTTTAAAAGAAAAATGTTTATATAAGATAGAAATGGTAGTGTTCAATGTTGCGTGTGTGTATATAATATATAGAATTAGTATGAGATGTGTAACTCTAGATTAATGAGATATGGATCTAGTAATATAATGGAGTTAAGGTTTTAAAAGAGGAAAAAAAAAGTCATCAAGGGGGGAGGTATTGCAAAGTTGGGTAGAGTACATGTGGATTGGAAGGCAGGAGTTAGAATTTGGTGTTTGTAAAATGCTAGGGGGGGAAAGCAATGCATGGTCCCTTTAAAAGATGATGTGCTTTTTCTATGCTTAGAGACTTAAACAAAATGTCTGTGCATAGCAGGTTGTGTGTTTGCAGGTGCGCAGAGAGCCCTCGAATTGAAACATTTCTATCAAAAAGCCGTACAGTTAGCAGGCTAAGCAGCAGTTTTGTTTTGTTATCAAGACAACAAATTTTGATTTTAATCAATCAATTTGAATCAGGCACTTAAGATACCAAAAACCAACTAAATTTAAATTTGATGGTTTTGACAATATAGGACATATCCTACTGTAAGAAATTGATATGTCATCAAGGGTATAAAAGGAGAGGGCATTAGAAAATCAGGACAGCGAACTGTCATTTGCAAGAGTTAACAGTTCTCAGCTCTCAAGAATCACTAGCTCTTACAGTCTTCTCTAACTTTTAGAGAAAGCACCATCTAAATCAAAGGGACCTATTGCACAACTGGTTAATATTCCTTCAGAACATTCAATGGAGAAGGCACAGAACATTCCAGAAGACATGTATCCTGGCTATAATTTAGACAGACTAAATTCTATTTTTATTTTTTTAATATAAGTGG